CCGAAAACGGACTGATGCCGGACTAAACTTTTTCGTACGGGTTTTGGAGGAGGGGGAGGATCGGCGAAAGAGGAGACGCACCCTGCTTCACCCCGCTGCCGCACAGAACTCTCTGGCCTCACCCCGCGCCACCGCAGGGCCGGGGGCCACCGCGACATCCGCTGCGACTGTATTACTTTGATTTCCGGTGTGGCTGGGGGTCGTGCGCGACGCTGCTGTAGTACACGTACCGCTCCGGACTGCGTCGCGGGCGACACGAACCCCCCCCCCCCCCCCCCCCCCGCCCCGCCCCGCCACAGCTGCGCTGCCTCAAAAAGAAGTAATGCCCGTCGCCCTGCGGTGCCCTGCCGCCCTGCCCTGCGGGGGCCTGGCATCCCTCTATATTGGTCACCAAGGACAGTAAGGCGGCCGGGCGGGGAGTGGCGCCGGGCCGCAGGGGCGGCGGCGGCAGCGGCGCTACATCAAAGGCTGTAAATCGAATTGGCCATGCGTTCGGCCTCACGCTCGGCTGCCGAGCATTGTGACGGAAAGGAGGGGAAAAGGGAAAAGGGGGGGGGAGTAAAGTGGGTGGTGGTAGAAAGAATTCAACTCGACACCTTCGGCGCGAGAAAGAGGCAGACGCGACGCGGTGATGAGCGGAAAGAGAGGCGACAAACGGAGACGGAGAGAGCGAGCGAGCGAGCGAGAGAGAGAGAGAGAGAGAGAGAGAGAGAGAGAGAGAGAGAGAGAGAGCGAAAAATGAAGTGTAGTACAAAAGGGTCACGGCAGCCAGCACAGCAAACAGCACGAGCCACCGCATCGGCCGGCCCCACAAACACAACGTAAATGTTGCGCCCGGAATTCTAACTTACGGTGGGTGGGCCGAGGATGTAGGAAGGGGGGAGGGAGGAAGGGTTGTGGGGCGCAGGCGGCACGTGGGGCTACACGATGGCCGCAGGATTTGCCCGGCCCGACTGTTGACATGCCATCATCTCAACTTTTTCTCATCCCTCGAGGAGCCTTGCTCCCCGCCTCTATAGGCCTGGCCTCGTGTCCAGCCAGCCTCGTGCGGCGCGGAAGTCCCGCCGAGAACCTCGCCAGAGGGGTGTGTGGCGTGTTTGGGGTGCAAAGCCGGGGTCGGCAAGGTGGTAGCGGGTGGCGCAGGGCGTGCGGCTCCGGTATAAGCCCCGTTCGTATAAGGCAGGGGGGACAGGACAGGACACGCAGTCCGGTGTCCGCCAAAACGCCACGACGGCAAAGCCTCTTACCCGCGTCGACAAGACAGGCGTTTCCCGTACGAAAAAGTTTAGTCCGGCATCAGTCCGTTTTCGGTCCGCAAAGAGTCCGGCTGGACAGTCCGGCATCAGTCCGCAAAAGCGAGCGGACTAGTCCGCGAAAAAAGCCAGATCGACCAAAAACCGACCTATTTGCCGGACTAGTCCGGCTGGAACTAGTCCGCTTTTGGTGCGCA